ATACGTACGTTCTCAGACTTTTTAACTAAAAGTTAGTTTAATTATCTCCTTCATACGTACTACCTAACCAAACATACTCTTCTGGACGCTCTCAGACAGACCTATCAAGAAATGGTTCATTTCAAATTAAAAAGAGCCTTAAATAAATTATTTTAAAGTAATAATATTTTAATTAAATATTACGCTATTACATTTTAAATATGATATTTTGGCTTAAAGAGATCAAAAATAATTTATTTGTTTTATTTTTGATTTCTATCAAAATTTGGTCATCTAAGCACTGCTCACATTTATAAGTAGAGGTAAAAAATAATATCCTTGGCAGTAATACATTTATTCTGAATATAGTTGGAAAAAGAAGAATTAATGTGATTCATAGTATGTAAATTATATAAAAATGTATACCTTTACATCCTAAAATAATATAAAACAATTTTTATAGTTTTTCCGAACTAATCAATCAGCTTGCGAGTTGTTTTTTCATCAATATTGATGGTGATGTATTAGTACCAAAGTAAAATCTCTTAACATCAATATAATTAATAATTTACTTACAGCACAACAATTTTACCATTTTTACTTTCTAAGACGTAAAGAAAAACATTTTAATAATTTATTAGCGTCATAGAATGTGTAAAATTGTTCAATCATCTTCTAATCGCTTGTTACCTATAGAAAACACAAAAAATATGAAAAGTAACGCTTCAAACACGTGCAAATCTAGTCAAGAAATTTATCATAAATATCATCGTTACATCTTTCTACGTTGCACTTATACGCCGCTTTCTTTTGCATTCTACCAATACATGCTAAAAGACACTTGTACGATATTTTGGACGAATTAAAATCTACAAATTTTTCAAAAGCGTAATCAAATACTTGATTGTTACACGTGTTGGCGAAAAAAGAAGAAACTCTTTTCATGTCATTCGTAACGCTTTCTTTTGTTTTGGATCTTTCGTATGTTATCCGTAGGTCCTCCATCTTCCGACACAAATCATTGTCCATTCTGAAGGGGGGACTAATCTACGGCTTATTAACCAAATGTTTCAGTGCTTGTTCTACGTAGGTGTTGTAAAGAAGGAGATAGCGATTAGGTCTATTTTTTAGTTATATAGGACGATACTTATCATTACATTGGTAGACCGTGCACAAATAGGTGTATCCAGTATAAAATGTTCATATATTGCCTGTTAGGAGCACTCACACGTTTCTTAATGATAAAGAGACCATTATCATCAAATATACCATCTATAATGAATAAAATAGTTAAAGCATCATATTATTCTACAGCTATGTATTAATGAGACTAAATTTGAGCACTAAACAAGGAATTAGTGATAAAAATATACGCTCTACGTATAAAATAGGTTATTAAAACAAATTGTAGTTTTTTACTTTTACTTTTGTTATTGCAAGAAAACATAAAATTTTTGCCTGAGATTAGAGCCGTTGAAAGTTCTATACGTAAGCTTGAACATAAAAATAACACATCACTAGAAAATTTTTAATTGAACGCAACTAAAAGCGTTGATCTTGATTAGTCCCAGCTGATCAGAAGAATACGTATACAAAGTAACGAGCAATAACTAAAATTTTTTAACGTAAATCGATTAGATACACTCATTCGTACTGATGTAGTAAATACGCGGTGATATATCAATACGTGTTTTAATATACTACGATGTAGTACGTTGTCATCCGCTCTATAAGCTACAGAGAATGCATTTTTATAATAATTACTCGTTGTATAAGCCAGTCATTCTCATTTTTGAGCCTGTGAATTTGGTTAATTGATAGATACACTTTCATCAATACACCTAAATGAACTATCCAGATATGTTCAGCACTCACCATAGCCTTGCAGGCCGTTGGTCCACAGTATTCATTCTCCTTACCACAGGTTCTTTAATCACCAAATCGTTCAAAATTCAACGAAAGGCCATTTCATAAATTATCGCACCCTTTGGTCCGACAATGCTTATTCTAAAAGACGGCCTGCTGTATTTTTCAAAACATCAAATGCTCCTCACGTACAACCTCGACTTTACCACGGCAACAAAAAACGAAAACGAACTCTCAGAATTAGAGAAAGTGCGGAACGAGTTGTACGGTGATGAAAAATACCTGGTGAAGATTGACGAGTACGAGTACCCGAGCAGTATAACAGCCCTCATCTCATACAAGAATAGATTGGTAGTAGGAACAGCAGCAGGAAAGCTCTTCTTTGATAGAAAGCAGGTTCTTAGTGTTGA